GCATCTTTTACATGAACCACATCAAAAGATCCAGGATGTCTTTCTCTGTTGGTGATCACACCAATTCTTCCCAGGTTAGCACCTCCAGTCACCATACACAGGTTACCAGTGTCAAACTTGATAAAATCAGTAATTTTGCCAGCCTCCAAATCAATCTGAATGGTGTCATTCACCTTGATGAGGGGATCAGGGTAGCGGATGGTGCGAGCATCATGAGTCACCAGATGAGGAATTCCTTTTGTGCCCACAAAGATCTTTCTTACTTTGCACAACTTGTACTTAGCCTCCTCAGGTGTGATACGATGAACAGCAAACCGACCCTTGGTGTCGTAGATCAGGAGGAAACTCCAGTCTTGTCAATGCTGATGACATCCATAAACCCAGCAGGGGAGGTTATATCAGTTCGGACCTTGCCATCGATCTTAATGAACTGCTGCATGCAGATCTTTTTACTTCATCTCCAGTCAGAGCATACTTAAGTCTGTTTCTTAGAAAAATGATGAGAGGGAGACACTCGCTCAGCTTGTGGGGACCAGTGGATGACGAGGAGCAAACACACCGGTCAATTTATGCAGCATCCAATGCTTTGGAGCTGCTACCCGCTTCAGATGTTTCTTGGGACCATGAGCCATGGCTGTGCAGGGCATGGAATGAGGGAGTTCTCCCCTTTTGAAAGCTTTTTTCTTTTCCTGTCTTTACTTTTTTAGAGACAAGGTCTTGCTCTATTGTCCAGACTGGAGTGCAGTGGTATAATCTCAGCTAACTAACTATAACCTCACCTCCCAGGCTCAAGCAATCCTCCTTCCTCAGCCTCCCAAGTAGCTGGGACTATGGGTGTATACCACCACACCCAGCTAACTTCATTTTTTTGTAAAGAGAATGTCTTGCTATGCTGCTCAGTCTTGAACTCCTGGGCTCAAGTGATTTTTCTGACTTGGCCTCCCAAATTGCTAGGATTACAGGCATTAGCCACTGTGCCTGGCCTAGTTTTCTCTTTTTAAAATGTAGATAATAATAATAATAATAATAATAATAATATCTACATTGTATGCTTCCTATGAATTATAAAATATAATGCTTTAAAAGTTCAGCACAGTGCTAGGTCCATTGTAAGTGCTTAGTTCATGTTGACTGCTATTATTATTATTATTATTTTCACCATTTCTCAATTGTACATCTGCCCACGTTCTTACCTTTCTCGAGGATATTATCAACTGGCTTGCTGGGCTGAAAAAAAAAAAGGCTCGTATACAAAACATTTATCAATTCTGGTGGTGTAAATACTCCCACCATGACCAATTGAAAGCTCACAACGTGATGACATTGAACATGAAGTTAAGAAGAGTCAATGTGTTGGTGCAAGCTGTCTCAGGCACTGCCAAGAAGTTCCCTTTGCTGTGAAGTCCTGAGTGTGCCACTTCTGCCTTAGCTGAAACTGGTAAAAATGAAGGGCTGTGTGCAAAAGACCCTGCTGTAATTGCTACCTCATGCTGCAAGGGGCAGCTGGTTTTTGCAGTTTTGCAGTCTGCATATATTCATAGCTGATGCAGGAAATGGGAATTGTAGCCTCAAATTACCATCATTGGGAACCCAGAGCAGAAGCGATTATCAAAGGGCAGAGATGTCTCCAGCCTGTTAATATTTACCATTTGCCATGGACCGCATGAAAGGGTGTGATGCCTCTGAAGCCACTGCTGTCTCTTTTGCTGGTTCCGGTTTTCTTCTGCTTTTTTTTTTTTTTTTGGTCATAGAGAAAGGCAGGCATATGTCATGAAATAAGTCTTGGAGCCAGATTGTCTGGAATCAAATCCCAGCACGACTACTTAACAAGATCTGCGTGACCTTGGGTAAGTTACCCAACCTCTCTGGTGCAGTTTGCGCCTCTGTAAAATGCACATGCTAATAAATACATTGCAGAGTGTTTTGAGATTTAGACATAACATATGTCATATTCTTAGGAAAGGGTCAGAAGTAGGAAAAGAAGCTCAGTGAAGGGGAGCTCAATGTCTTACTATTCCTGGGAAGAAAGCACTCCCCAAATGGCTTTTCTGAAGTCCTTCATCCGGGAGTTTATATGCTCACTGGGAAGCTGGCCTCACTCATACAGGTGAGGAGAGTGGGCAGTCTTTATAATGGCAAGTTTCAAATGTTTTATTTCCTCCTCAAAGTGATCTGTCTACATAAAGAAATATTAAGTTCTTTCCTATAAACTCATTATGTGATTTTTTTCTTAAACCAGATTCAGAGATTTACCAGATTCAAATATATTTGGGATGTTTTGATTTAAAACATAAGCTGGATGGTTACATGGCCTTTAGAAGCCTGGCTATAAGATAGATAGGAAAAACTCTAAGATGGTGGAGACACAAAATGGAAGGTGCCAGAATGTTTGGGGTCCCACCCGAGGAGAAAGTAGCCTGACCAGCAATATTCACTGCGGACTTGCTGTGAGTGAGAAACAAACCTCTTTTGTATGAAGTCACTGAGTTTTGCGCTGTTTCTGTAATATCTGCTAATGTCAGGCAACCTTGATGAATACATCATATAAAAAAAATGCACATTGGGAAGCCTGGGAACTCAAGGAGATGATTGATCATATTCCAGAGTAGCTCAGATGAGGTACAAGAAGTTCTCCATGTCACTGTTGTTGTTTAAGGCATCTCAGCGGCAGCAAGAAGACCTGGACAGAGGAAACCTGACCAGCAATATTCATTGCAAAGAAAGCATCCATACTAAGGGCTACCAGAAAGACAGAAACCTAAGAAGCAGCAACCCCACCACCTCCTCTTTCTCACCAGGCCTCTGCTCATTCACTTCATCTTTCTCTCTTCCTGGAGGCCAGGAACACATAGAACCTGTTTATGCATGAAAAAACAGAGGTGTACTTTCAAATTGCTACTGACCCCCAAGCTCTTTCTAACATGTGAAGATCTGCCTATCCTTTTGTTGCCTCTCCTTGTTGCCTGGGCTGTATTCTTCAAGTCCTGAGGTTATCACCCAAGATTGCTGTTGTCTCCTGGATGCTTGTTCTCTACAGTTCATTCATTGCCAAGCCCTATGCAAATTTTCACCTGAACCCCTCTTCCTAATGTCCATGACTGCCACCTCTGTGAGCCTTAGAGCCTTCTCACCTGGACAGCTGCATCCACCTCCTCAATGCCTCCCTGCCTCTGGCATCCCCCTCCCATCTCTTCTCACCCAGAGACCCTGCAGGCTGCATTTTCCAGTGTCCCTCTGAAGCACAGTTTTCCCAACTCCTCACAAGTCTGCTTGAAAACTTTCCACATTTTTATTGGACTTGACCCTGAATTGTCGATGATTTTCTAATGGAATCAGAGCATCCTTTGTTCTAAAGTTTTTTTCGTTGTTTTCTTTCCATGGGATTGTAGGAAACATCTCCCATCAGGCACACCCTACTGTTTTTGTGAAAATTATAGGCTGCAAATAACCACTTAAGTCAACTGCCAGACGAGGTACTCTCTTCAGAGGGACAATTCCAGCTGTTGAACAAGTTTATGGGCTTTATTTTTGGAGCAAAGAGTTCATCAAGTGAAGAACAAAATTTTCCAGGTGCTCCAACTCCATTCCTATCATAAAGTATGTATATGTCTCTAAGTGGGCTACTCCTTTCAAGATCAAATTTATGACTCCAATGCCTATTTACCCCTCTCTCTGTTGACTTCCTGGGGCCCTTTCTTCAGCCTTACAGTTAACACTTTGGGAAACACACAGAAAGAAACAAATACAAGAGACAAGAGAGAGGGCCTGAGAAAGAGACAGTCTCCATCTGGCTCCTCCTGAGGCATGACTTTTCCCTGCCTCAGGTTCCATGAGCTGATGCCTTCTCATGGGGATACTTCCTGGCTTAAGCCAGGATGTTTCCTCAATCCAAGCAGTCTCAACTGAGACCCAGTACAAGACCAGCTTCCTCCCTTTATTAACACCTGTCTGGAGAAGAAGGTGCTTCAAAAGAGGTACCCAAGGTCTGTGCTCAAATCACATCTGCCCCTTGTACCTAGGGCAACCTGCCTTTCCATAAAGCATTCTGGACACACCTGAAGAGCACATGAAGTGTGTTCACCTGTTCTCTTCTCCAGATCCCCATGTCCCTCAAATGCCCTCATGTCTCACTCTGCAAAGCATCTAGGGATGCCTAGACCACTCCCATCAGCTGCCATTCAGGGAGGCCCTAGGGTAGACCTTGCCCAGCCTTAGGCAAACCCATCAAAACTCATCCATCCCCTGCTCCCCTTCCACCAAATCCTACAGTGAGCTGATCTGACAAACTAAGTTACATTTTGGGATTAATGAACAGTAATTGCTCAGCACGAACTAATAACTTGCTATTCAAAATATGGCCCACAGACCAGTAGCAGGTTTAGAAAGGCCCACCCCAGACCTTCTGCACTGCAATTTGCATGTGACCAAGACCCATAGGTGATTCAAATGCCCATTAAAAATCTGCAAAGCACCCATCTAGTAGATCTTTAACTCTTTCAGCAGCATCATGACTCTCAGTACTAGGCATTTCATGGTGCTGATGTCAGTCGTTTGGCATTTCACACTTTTGCAAAGCGTTTTCACAAATATGAACCTGCGTGGTTTTTTGTTTGTTTGTTTTTTGAGTTGGAGTCTCACTCTGTCACCCAGACTGGAGTGCAGTGGCCACTCCCGGCCACCGTAGCCTCGACCTGCTGGGCTCCGGTGATCCTTCCGCCTCAGCCTTCCAAGTAGCTGGAACTACAGGCATGCACTACCACACTTGGCTAATTTTTTGGTTTATTGTAGAGATGACATCTCGCCAAGTTGGCTAGGCGGGTCTCGAACTCGTGGGTTCAGGCAATCCACTCACCTCAGCCTCCCAAAGCGTGGGATTACAGGCTGAGCCTCCGAGCCCGACTTGAACCTGTGTGGTTATCAGAGCAGTTAGACTCAGCTCCTGGAGGCACCAGGGGCCCCGCTGGCTCCTCCCCACAGCCCCAGCTCAGGCCTGGCATTGGACAATTGTTCAATTAGTAGCTGAACAGGTAAATAAAGGTAGAAGCCCTGAGAGAGACAGGACAGGGGACGTTATCTTCATTTTGCACATGCTCATATAGGTCAAGACCGACTCCAGGTTAGCCCCTAAGTGGCAGGGGGCGTGCTCAACCCCAGGCTTCTAACTTTTCATCTCTGAATGACTAAAATCAGTTCTTAAGGGGAGAAAGTTTGTTGAGGCCCAGTAGCAGGGAGATTTGAGTCTTCCCCCTCATCATGCCCTGTGGACTCTGATTTCAAATTCTAAAGGGAGGCCCTGTGTATAATGACCTTCTTGCTCTGGAGGGCAGAGAGCATGGGGCCCTCCCCCTAGGAACCTCTGTGAGTTGGTCCTGGTGAGAAACCACGCAGGGAGCTGTTCCAGGGGATGGGAACACTTGCTCCTCATCCCCCACATCCCCACCTCGCCAGGCCGGAGTGGGAGGAAGCAGCCACAAAGGCTGGGGCAGAAGCACCGGTGGATGTGAGGCAGAGCTTATTGAGAATGGTTTCCAGGTTGTGAGGCTTATGAAGTTGGAATCAGTTACCCCGGGCCCCACCTTCCCCATGGGCACTGGGCTCTGGCCATCCACCTGGAGCCGGTTAGGTGTGGCCA